GAAAGATGGGAAAGAAGCCAAGGTATGGAGATCACCCTCAGAAAGATCCTTAATTAAACCACGTGAACTAAACTGTAATGGCAACCAGGCTGAGATAGCTTCTGAGTGTGCTATTGCTGATATAAAGGCATATGCTGATTTAAAGGGAGGTCTACCTAAAGCTCAGACACTCCAGAAACCTAGCTAAAATTTTTTAAATGAGTTTGGACGTGGCTTTCAATGCACCTCGTGCCTAAGCTGATTGACAATGGGAAGACATTCAGCCCCCAAAGTCAGTAAATAGAAACACTGAGACCCAGCTCTATGCATTTTACCCACTGACATGAAAATATCACACCCCATCACAGCCCATTAGATTATGACTTTGGACCAGCAGATGGGGAAAAACATAAAGGGGGAAACAGGATTCATTGGGTGGGAAAGAGGGGGCTAATTTGCTTCTCAGTCTTCATTTAAGTGGCATTGAAGCTAATTGCCAAGGACTGTGTTGATATCACACAGCCAGAATGGGAAAATCCTGAGATTGGATTGTGTAACAGGTAACATTTTGGGCCAGCTCTTCAAAAGGTATTCAGGGTCAGGTACCTGGATCTTCAGGATCTTGGCTTTTATCACCAATTGCTATTAACTGACTAAGAACAAATTGCAGTTGCATTTTGCAGTGAAAGTATTTCTCATAAGAAACTCTGGCCATGAAAGGCCCTCTTTGGGTCCAAGGAGAAAGCACAGAACTGCTCACACCCATGTAGGCTTCTCTCCCAGCCCTTTTGGACTTGCTAAACCTTAGTCCTAGAGAAAACTATTCCTAGAGCAGATGTATTCGCTCAGTCTTGCAGCCTAGGTGCCCATGTTTGGGCTGCCGGTGAGAGACCCATTTCAAAATACATGCGTGAGGGGCCTTTTCTTAAGAATCAGACTGAGACGGTGAGTAGCTTTGCTTGCCCCTCTAATGAGCCAGGTTTGCTCAGGTGCTACCATCCTTTATTTCTTTTCCGGGCCTTCATAACTTTTCCAACGTCGAAAGAAGTTTTGTGGCTTAAAAGAAACCTTGCTTGTTGAGTGTGTCCTTGATGATGGACGACATCACTAACACTTGTTTATTATATTGTCTATTCTGTCTGAAACCAGCCTGCATTCTCCTCGTCTTTCTGTCAGCAACCATTCATGTATCTCTAGGACAAACGGTCCTTGCTATCCTCAGTGAGACTTGACTCCCCAGTTGTTGCAATCATTTAATAGCCCCTTGTGGGTATATTCTTTAAGACCCTTGACGGGCACCAGAGACATCCAGCACAGCAAGCAGACTGCACCCTGCTGTGCTGCATAGCATATTCTATCCCAGTTTGTTTGGGGTTTGGTTTTTTTTGAGTTGTATCTTTGCAGCACAGCTAGAGTCAAAGGACCAGAAGGAAATGGGATAAAATATCCTTTTAACTTTGCCTTGCCAAGTTTTTTTTTAAAGAAAGGATATCAATTTTTTTTTTAAATGAAGGATAGAAATACAATGGGACATTTGTAATGAAATGGAGAGACCAATAAAAGGAGATTTCTAGTGAAATACATCTCAACTGATGAAAGTACTCTGACATCTAGTGCCGTCTGAGTTGGTAGAGTACTTGCATGTCATGACACCTGTGCCTCAAATGATCCACAGCAGCCACATGGGTGGGCTCCTTACCATGCATGAAGCTTACTGCATGGCCTTGGCCTGAGGCAGCCCAAAATCTGTCCCATTTCAACCACAGAATAGCTTAATTCTTCTTTAAACTCTTATCACGTCTCCCCCAGAGACATGTGCTCTGCCCTCTATACACTTAAGGGCTTGGAGAACGGTCATAAGGGGTATGTAATATTTTTACATTAGAAATGTATTATTTGCTTTTATGCTCATGCCTAAAAACCCAAACCAAAGGCTTCCTTGCTCTGAGCATTCATGTGCAGTAATACAGCACCTTCCCCAAGGAACATAGTGTAAATACGAGAAAGAAAAAGGAGAAGGAGAGACAACGGCCCAGAGAAGGAAAGCGTCTTACTCAAGGCTGCAAAGCAGATCATTAAGCAGAATGGAAGCCTGTATCTTGTTCTGCCAGTCCTGGCCCAGTTCTCTATGCTTTTCTACCTGCATCCAAAATACCTTTTTGGCATAAAGTACGAGGTTAATGAACAGCTCAGCTCTGCAAGGAAGTTAAAGCAACAGCAAGAACAAGACATTCTCGGTAAGCAATCCTATTGTTATAAGTCACTTGCCATACAAATTCTGTATATGCTGCTCTCCCCTGTCTCTCTCCCTTTTCAAAGTTATGAGACGCCGTGGAAATTAAACAAATAAGATAAGTGTGTGTGTGGTGGGGAGCCCAAACACAAGCTTGAGATAATTCTGCAACATAATTCACAGGTTGTCCATCACTTCCCTGGGAACAAAGCTGAGCAATACGACGGGCTCTCCGTGGAGCAGCTACGGAGAACTGTCAGGATGATCTCCTGTTGCTTTCTGCCACTGACAGATCAGACAAGTAAAATGTCTTTCTTTTCATTGTTGCAGAATACAGATGGGCTAGAATGGCAGCCTCAACCTGCTTAGAAACTCTGACATCCTCTGAAAATGTATCCTTTCCCCCCCGTGCATGTTGGGAAAGAAGGGTTGGGCAGGACATCGTGGAGGGATGAGAATTAGGGCAACCACCGTTCCCCAAAACCATTGTTCCCAGGCCGTCATTAGGCCATTTTCTTTTGCATAACCAGATAAAGTTGATTCGGGGATCGTAGTGTTTCCTATGCAACACCGAGCACAGGGAAACGACAGAAAACTCTGTAACCACATCGTTATCATTGCATAGCTTCTAAAAGGTTTCACCACGAAGTGAGATTTGGGCAGGCTTTTAAATATTAAAGCCCAACTCCCCTGCACCCAGAGAAAGGCACTTTTATTTAGACACTCAAAAACTCTAGATTCCATAGAGATTTCTCCATGCTCATCCTGTCTTTGCAGGTAAAGTCACACTTGTCTGGTCCTTCTCTGCTTTCGAATCCCCCTGAGTGGCTCATGTTGTTGACTGCTGGAGGCTAGGACAAAAGCATATCTACTGGGGAATATGCACTCAGGACCTGTGTTAGGAGGTGAAAGGACTGTGCATAAGTTTAGACAGCTCCATGGATTTCCCAATAGGAAAAAAATAAAAATAAAAAGACCGTTGTCATGCTAATGTGGAAAACACATGATGGAAGATGGCACCAAATTGCTGTGCAGTGTCTGAGTAGCAGACCAGTCTGTCTGGAGACCCCAGATGAGCAGGGCTGGGACAGTGAGGGGCCAGGGTCCCCATGGACACTGGCCCACTGGCAGGGTGAGGAGCAGGGCCAGAGGCAGGATTGGGATTTTGTGGCAGTAACAGCTTGGGCCAAATCTGGGGAGACGAGCTGGAGTGACACGGGCAGGGACTGCTGGGAAATGGAGTCCCTTGCAGGCCTAATCCATCCTGCATGTTGGATTTTGCTCGCCCCTGGTCTAGTCAAATGCCACCGTTGGCCACATGTCTATCAGGGGATCCAGCTGGTGGATCCCAAGCATCGAGAAACAATCCAGGCTCTGACCCTGTTTTGGGATCATCAGTCTCACTCCTGAGACACAGGGCACCTTAGCATGCCCTCCAGGGAGCTCAGGAGTTCAGCCTGGGTGCACATCTTTGGGGATCAAGTACTGGCTCTTCTTCTTGCAGTTGATTCCCGCTGCTGGCTTAAATCTGCTGTTTTTCACCGAAGGCAAAAGCCTCCTGGTTTACAGCTTCACCTTCAGGGGCTACTTGGAGGAGTGAGCGAGCAGACTCACGCACATAAAATTTGCACCGAGTTTCTGAGGGTACCATTTGTTTTGGCTTAGAAGTTATAGCACAAGGATGCTATCGTCAGAAAGCCTTGCTGCTGGCAGTCCCTCGATTCGAGCATGATCTCCACCACAGCTCGCTGATGGGTCTTGAGGGGAGAATCCAAACCTTGGGCCACAGATCCGTTTGCAGAAGTAATCAGAAAGCACCACAATTCCTAAAGACAATATCCCTCTTCAGTCTGGCTCAAACTACCCTTTGTCCATGAGATCTGTTTGTATTATATATGTCTCCTCTGATCTCGATCAATGCTGCAGCTAAATCAGGGGACCCCGGCTTGAAAAACCTGGCCATTTCTTCCCCGTGCCTGCCCAGTGCTTCCTGTGGGACTCAGTCCCCACTCCATGAACCCCATTTACAGCTTTTTTGACACCTCTGCTCTCTGTCTCTTTGCTGGTACTTTTCCAGTCTCTCCATTTCTCCCTTTTCATCAAAGAAGCAGCAGTAAGATTATCTCTTGGGTCAGGCAGATGCTCGGCCCCAAATCCCAACAGCCTACCATTGTCCTTGCCTGGCAGGATAAGACTCAAGCCTGCCAGCCCACTGTGGATATGCACAGACAGATGCATCCGCTGAGACAGGAGTTTTCATAGTGACGGTTTCATATTATCAACCACCATCTATCCAAAATCATCAGAGTCCATTTTCTAAGATTAGACAGATATACCTCATCTATCTGGGCATCACACTAAGATACTGAAAACTGCCAGGAAATTGCCCTCTAGTCAAGAAGTGAACACTAAATAAAGCAGGGGAGGATTCTTCCATATTCATTAGGCAGAAGCATGTATTTGGAAGCAAATTCTATTTCGCCTTTATAAATAAATCAACATTAGATTATAGGAACCCTATCAGGTTCAAACTCTTTGTTACTGCAAAGTTTTAATGAGTTTTACCCATTTACCCTTTCTTTTTTAAAAGTCAGTGGAAGGTTTTGAAGAAGCATTTATTTGGAAATGTTACGATTTCATGCAGAGCAGAACAGATTTACTATGTCACCGTCAACCTCATCAGTTTCTGTAATATGGGTTTATAATGCTTGTGGAAAATTTAAGGAAAGCAATTACATTGTTTCTTATAATGGTTTGTGTTGAATATTTACAAATCTGGAGCACTTACCTGACTCCCTTAATCAGAGGTGGGCTATTGAAGGGGGGGCACAGTTCAAACAATCAATCTCACCAGCCAGCAGACAGCTCCATTCAATAGCTTTATATGCAAGAGACAAAAAAAAGAGAGAAAAAAAAAAAAGAAGAGACTGTATTAAATAAGCAGGTACACAGGAAGTTAGCAGTGCTCCCCCTTTGATCCCCGCCACTTCAACCTAGCAAAAATCCAGGAGATAAATTGTCATCCCTCTGTTTGCAACAACAGTTGAGAACCATATTTCTACTTGAAATGTCTGTATCCCATATTGTCAAAAATAATCCCCCATATTATGAGACAGCGAGAGAAAGAGCAAGAGCGCGATCATGGAAATGATATCCTCTTCACTTTTTTCAGTTGATACATATGGTCCAGAGTAAGCCCTATTTATTGATGGTCATTTGTAACGTTCTTAATTGTTGCTCTCCAGGAAACTCACTTGCATACACTTTCCCAGATCTGAATTTCTCTAGAAAATGTGTAGCCAAGCTGAAACAGAATCTGAAATACCAGTAGTGGAGAAGCTATTTGCTTTAGAAACTTCCAAAAAGACATGTAAAAAAATGCATACCAGGGACCAGAATTTCAAATACCTTTTAAGGTTTGTTTTTAAAGAAACCCAAACTATTACAGTATCAAAAGAGAAATTCATAAAAATGTACTTTTCCTAACTGTTTAGCATCCCAGGTAAACATGTCACTGCTTTCAACACAGAGCTGTCATCATCCCTTTAGTCACCGACTGAACTCTGTACAAAAGATGCAGCTAAGACCAAATCATTTGGTCCTGGTCTTATACAACCTATGATGCAAAAAGACATAGTTGTTCAGAAACTACGTTCGGTCAAGGTTTCTTCCCTCGTCCCGCTAACGTTTCTTCCCTCGTCCCATTAGATGCTTGACTGCAGTATGACATAATGTGTGCCATGCTGCTAAACTACATCTTGAACCACGCTTTCTAAGGTAAAGTGTGCGTGGAAAGAAACTTGGACTCGAGCAAAAATAACCGAGACAGTAAAATATGTGGCAGCCATTATAGAGTTAATACGCACAAACCGGCTGAGAATACATTTCTTTGTAACTATGTCCTGTCCACAGGTTCACTGACCTAACACAGTTTGCTCCAATTATGAACAGATTGCTTGTTACCTATTATCCTTGAAAGAAGCACTGGAGGAAACTCAGAAAACCTATTGAAAAGATCCCAGCTTCCTTTGTTTGCGCGGCTGAATTAACCTTTCTTCATAACCCTAACTGTGAATGTTTTAGTTGCCTTGAAGCCATTCTACATTACTCCTCACATGGATGCAATTAGAGGAGAGAGAGATAAAAGGAAGAATTAAAGGAGCAGACATTTAATCTCCCCTTGCTTCTTTCATTTGTCTTCGCTATGATATTCTTATGTTTCTCCCTTTGCTACCAACTGACGTCTCTTGGCAAGTCCTGCAAACCCATGTCCTCTTCCCTTTGCATCTTCTCATCTCTCCATCATTCATGCTTCATGGGCATTGCTTGTCTTACAGAAGTGGCTAGATGCCCTTGAGGTTGAAGGAGCTGTACAAGCACAGATTGAGAAACCATCCCTGCCCTGAAGAATTTACAGTCTAAATAGACAAGTGATGAAAAGAGAAGCGCAAAGCAGGCAAAGCGACTCTTTCAAAAATCACCCACAAAGGGCCAGAAATATAAGCCACGTTCTTCAGAGTCCCCACCTACTGTCCTTGCCAGTAGTAGACAAATGCATGCTCGGACATATGGAATTAAAAATAAATAAATAAATAAACAATTAAACGAGTGCATCCTAGTAATACTTTAATTCTGAGTACCGCAGCACTTTAACTAGAGGACATTTCATAATTTTAAAAGCAATTTCACATTAACTCATATTTTTTCTTTCATAGCAGACAGTAACACATGAGCTGATGAGAGACTGAAACACTAGTTTAATGTCTGGGGTTCAGTAAGAAAGTCAGACTCAATCTGCTATAACAAGTAACTTAGTTTATTGCTGCCTAAGGGTTTGGGGGCTCTTAATATAGAGCAGATCTTGAGGACTTCCCTACTAATTACTGGAAGAGCTGATTCCTCCTCTCTGTACGTACGCTTTCAGCGACCTGTTTTATTGCATTTGTGGTTACCTGACCTGTATATCAGCACTTCTCATAGAGTCGCTACATATGCAACTGAAATTCTGCAAAACCTCTGACACCATTCTTCTCGTCAGCAGTCTGGGTCAGATACCATTTCATCAATTAGATACCTAAGTGGACTTATGTGCCTAAGTGCATTTCTGCTCCATCCTGCTAGAATTCCTGAAAAATGATTAATGCAAAGGGCGGGAGGGCCCTCCTCCTCCTCCGCACTGCTGCCTCATGATTCAATTTAAGGGTTAGATGATGGAATGGGTGTGTTCATGAATTTCAGGACCTGAGCAGTGTGGAACAGAATTGCACGTAGCCACCTAAGTCCACTTAGAGGGCTAATGGGTAGAGTAGGATCCAGGCCTATGTAATCTTTGCATTCAGTGTAATAGCCAGTGGGACTACACACGGGCTGAAAGTTAAGCATTTATTGAAGTATGCGATGTGCAGCCTTACCCGTACCTCTTTTAAAAGAGTCCAAAGAACTGTACAAAGAAACTCCTTCACGGACTACTTTTTTTTTTTTTTTTTATATCTCGCATGTTCTCGCTTGATGCCACAACTTTTCACAGAGATTGCCTCCTAGCAGTGAACGGGAGCACAGAGAGAAACCTCCTGGGTCTGTGAAAGAGAATGAAAATGGGCAGGCTGAGTATAAAGAGTTATTAGGCAGATCACGGTACTTTAGTGAGTCAAGTGAGCAGACTAGTGAGGCAATGAAGAGGCCACCACACTGGGCAGACAAGAAGGAAACAGCAGTGGCTCAGCATGCAACAAAGCTGCCCACCTCAAATTAAAAGTCTGCCCAGCAAGCTCCATCTGAAAGTTACTTGGCAAACCCAACCCTTAGAGAGAATAATGATAACATTCAAGCAAGGAACGGAAGATGGTGTCACATTTGTTTACTGTCAAGACAGAGTAGGTTGGAGAGCCTGCCAAACTCCAACCAACCACACTATTAACAAGAAGAAAATGGGATTGCGGGCAGCATGATGATGGTCGGGAAATCATCATGGACTCAGCTCAAGATACAGCTACGTGACATATTGTGGCAGAGTGCATTCCCTTTGGAGATCCAGCTGAATGTCTCCAAAGTGCAAATATTAAGCAGGTGATGCAAGGTATCACCATGCGTGAAAATAAGGAACATTTACAAGGGCCAACAGTGCATAGGAAGTGACTTGGGAGCTCTGTGAAATGGCAATCATTTCTTTCATTGCATCCCATATCAGTAAGCTAAGATTTTATTTATTTATTTTTATTATTATTAGGTCTGAAAATTAAGTTGGACAGCCTGTCCCATCAAAGCCACTTGACAACATATAGAAATACATCAGCAGGTAGATGGATAAGCTCATTTCTTAATGGCATTGACGCCCTGCCAATATTTTAACAAGAGTCTGACATGAGACATCCTTCTCTTTTGCCTGTGACAAACTCCTTGGTTGCATATGCTTGTTAAAAAAAAGATGGGGGCTGGGAATAAGAAGAACCTGCTTATTTCAACATAACACATTACCGTGGTCATATTGTCATTGACCTCTGGCCTATTCTGCTTTTAAGACGGTGGCTTTTTAAGACACATCTATCTTGCATTTATTTTTTATTAATGCAAGGTGCCTGTATGCTGCAGGAGAGGAAGCTATTTATTAATTAGTCAGTAGATAAATAAGTGTTCCTGCACACAGGAAAGAACTCTATATCAAATTAGTGCTTTTATTTGATTTACATATGATTTCAGCTGTTTTCTTTGCTGGCATGTAGCACAAGTGACTCCGAAAATAAAAAAGCGTATTTTAATAAAGCTTTGTTTCTATAAGCTAGAGAATTATGTGATTCTCTCTTCTGTTCAACAGATTCTTACCACGGAGAGAAAATGAGATGTGAAAGACTCATTAATAAAATATTGACCACCTGTAAGTTCTCCAGCACTTTTTAAAATTTTCATATACAGTTACAGATTAGCTGCAGCTATTTGCTGAAAGCTGCAGTTATTATAATTGATAGGTGAGTATCTTCTGTTTGTAAGACCTACCAATTAAAATGCTGAAATGCAATATCTGTAGAGCATAGGATATAAAATTCGTAGGATATAAAAAATCATGGGATATACAATTCTATAACAAGGAAGAAAAATATTCATTCTAGGCTAAGGAAGAAAACTGCATCTTTTGCATTCTTGTCTCAGCTTTGTTGCAATGGGCATTCTGACTACATCTCAAAGTGCTATCTGACATCCAACACAGTCACTTTCCTACTTTAACAGTATTTCATTCTGTCATCATCACTAAAGGAAAGTTAATAAGTTCTTACTCTTCGTGCTGCTTACACAAAGACAAAAAACCCTACAAACACCGCTGTATTAGATATGCAGAGATGGCCGGTTCAAGTCTCGAATGAATCTTTCATTCTGCCATGACGGCAAATCCTCCTAAATTCCTGAATTATTCAGAAATAGATAGCAGGTAATGAACGAAAAGTAAGACCAACAGCCAGGGAGAAAATCATAAGCTCATTAATATTTTATCCTAATATATTAAAATTGATTAAAACAGGGATTTTTTGATTTTTTTTATTTTTTGTAACTACCACTGATATTACATATGCATTTTAGTTAGGATTACTTTATGGAGTCAGTTAATTACCTTGCCTAGTGCCTATGATATACCCCAGTTAAAATGATTTACAAGTTAAAAAAAAAACAAACCACACACAGGTAAGATGTTTTACCAAACTCTGTTTTTCAGATGGTAAGAGCTAAAATCTTTGGTCCCCCTCCCCACCCAAATGTGACCAAGACCTCCAACACACTTGATATTTAGGACACAATTTACAGGTTAATCATGCCTTAAATAGTAACCCAGCCACACATCCAAGCCAGTTTGAGGCATAATAATACAGTTAACAAGCCACAAAGGTATTCCACATATAATAAGTAATACCTTTGTGGCTTGTCTGTACCATGCCTTAAACTGAATGTGTGGCTGGTTGGGACTGGCCCATGACAGATCCTGACACTCACCTAAGTGTCAGGATCCATCATGGTATAGCCTGAGGGCCCAGAAGGCATCTATCCAAGCAGCCTGATCCTGGGGTCTACATGCTACAGGTGGAGTTAAAAGCCTGGCTGAGGCTCTGAAAATCAGCTGATAATCTGTTGGGGCCAGGGACCTTATTGGGGCTTGTTTCAGATCCCAATTCAGTCCCCAACTCATAGCTTTGTTGAGTTTTAACCCTGTGAAAGGGAAACTCCTTGTGTTTCATTTAATTTATTGTGATTTTCTTTTATTTTGTGGGTGGATTCTGTAAATCAGAACACAAATTAAGTTGAATAGGATCTATAGCAGCATCTATGAAGGCTCTCAGCCAAATCCTTCCCTTTTATAGAAGTTCACATAGAAATGTAGCTTCAGATGTCTGCATCGTTTAAAGACAACCTGGTCTTGTATCCCTGCATTTGCTATCAATATCTTTCTTTAGACCTGTGCTATAGACCTAGCTATATGTGGGTTCCTCTCCATGCAGTTTATGTTGTGTGTCAAGCAGGATTGTTTTCAACCATACTTTTGACATTATACATCCTTTTTCAATCCCTATGGGGTTTTTTCCCCCTGTTGTTGCAGAAGTTCTCTGATTTCTGCTTATATTAGTAGGCATTGTGATAGGCAGCTTGCTCTACATTCATTTACATTTTGCTGTGGGTGAATTTTAAGCATTACTTTGACCATGGGATGTTGTTCCAAGAAGGAGGATTGCTACGAAGAGATGGGATCCACCTGATGAAGAGAAGGAAGACCATCCTTGCAGACAGGCTTGCTAACCTAGTAAAGAAGGCTTTAAACTAAATTTGAAGAGGGGTAGAGAACAAAGCCCCGAGGCAAGTGAGGAAGCAGGGGACCTGGAAGAGACAAAAGGAGAAGGGGGCCATGGGGAAAGGCCTCATTCTTCCAGAGAAAGTAGGGCAATTCACTAGTTACCTCAGGTGTTGTACATAAATGTACAGAGCCTGGGAAACAGCCAGGAAGAATTAGAAGTCCTCACACAGTCGAGGAACTATGACGTGATCGGAATGACAGAGACTTGGTGGGAGCTTGCATGTCTGGAGCACAGTCATGGATGGGTGCAAACTGTTGAGGAAGGACAGGCAGGGGGGGAGAGGAGGAGGAGTTGTGCTATATGTAAAAGAGCTGTTTGATTGCTCAGAGCTCCAGTATGAAACTGGAGATAGGTCTTTTGATAGTCTTTGGGTCAAGGTTAGAGGGGAGAGCAATGAGGGCGGTGTCATGGTTGGGGTCTGCTACAGACCACCAGGCCTGGAGGATGAGGTAGATGAGGGTTTCTTCAGACAAGTAACAGAAGTTTCCAGATCACAGGGTTCTCATGGGAGACTTCAATCACCCTGACATTTGCTAGGAGGGCAATGCAGCAGGCAATCCAGGAAGTTTTTGAAGAGTGTTGGGGACAACTTCCTGGTGCAAATGCTGGACAGACCAGCTAGGGGTTGGTCTCTTCTTGGCCTGCTGCTCACAAACAGGGAAGAATTGGTGTGGATGGCAACCTGGGCAGCAGCAACCACAACATGATCGAGTTCAGGATCCTAACAGAAAGGAAGGAGAGCAGAAGAGTAGGGACCCTGGACTTCAGAAAAGCAGACTTTGATTCCCTCAGGGAACTGATGGGCAGGATCCCCTGGGAAGCCAGTCTGAGGAGGAAAGGAGTCCAAGACAGCTGGTTGTATTTTAAAGAAACCTTACTGAGAGTGCAGGAACAAACCATCCTGATGCACAGGAAGACAAGCAAGCGTGGCAGAAGACCAGCTTGGCTTAGCAGAGAACTCTTCAGTGAGATAAAACACAAAAAGAAAGCTTACAAGAGGGTGGAAACTTGGACAAACATCTTGAGAGGAGTATAAGAATAGTGCTCGGGTATGCAGGGACCGAATCAGGCAGGCCAAAGCACAACTGGAGTTGCAATTCTCAAGGGATGTGAACAGTAACAAGAAGGGTTTCTACAAGTAGATTAGCAACATGAGGTACCTTAGGGAAAATTTGGGTCCTTTTCTGAATGGGGGAGGCAACCTAGTGACAGATGATGAAATAATGCCTTTTTTACCCCGGTCTTTACAGGCAAGGTCAGCGCCCAGACTACTGCACTGGGCAGCACAGTTCAGGGAGAAGGTGAGTAGCCCTTAGTGGTGAAAGAAGAGGTTAGGGACTATTTAGAAAAGCTGGACGTGTACAAGTCCATGGGGTTGGATGCAATGCATCCAAGGGTGCTGAGGGAGCTGGCTGATGAGACTGCAGAGCTTCCAGCCATTTTCTTTGAAAACTCATAGCAATCAAGCGAGGTCCTGGATGACTGGAAAGGGGCAAAAGGAGTGCCCATCTTTAAAAAAGGAAAGAAGGTGGATGCAGAGAGCTACAGACCAGTCAGCCTCACCTCAGTCCCCAGAAAAGTCATGGAGCAGATCCTCAAATAATCCATTTCTAAGCACTTGG